TCTTGAGTGAGCAGTAAAAATTAAAAAAAAAAAAAAATTTTTTAATCACCTGTGACTCAATTTTTGCTATTGCAAGATGATAATTCTGAAAATTAATAATAGTAAGAATAAAGAAAGTTGTTCAATGTATGCCCTAGTAAATTCTTGCCAGTTGATCCCTTTCTTCTACTTCTTGATTTTTTTCAAAAGGCTTTAAAATTCCAAAGACACAAAAGCTGTGCTAAGTTCCATGTGATGGCCCTCATGAATCTCTGGCACCCGAGGTCATGTCCACATCAGCTGATGTTGTGTTCACTTATTTCTCTCCTGCCCTTTCTTCTTCCCCCAAATCTAGTTACTGTAACTAACTGATGAATGTGATTATTATTCCTCATCTGAAATCCTAAACGGAGGCGTTCTTAAAGCAGGAAGAGATTGTATCTGTCTGTAAACACCTGTGTGGTGGACAGATGGAATAGATAAAGTAGAACTTGGGAAAAGCCAGCTTTGCTTTGAGTGTTCTGTAGTGGTTCACTCAGGCAGTAGTGCTAACATAGTTTGGGAGAAAGTCATGCCAGCAGAATTAGCATCAGGATCAGGAACGACCTTTCTTGAGCCTGGCAGCAGGTTTGAGGGGTGGGTAGAATTAGCACAGGCACCCCTTCTGGAAAGTTACTCAAAAAAGAAAAACAGTGTTTCATTAAGATGCCTCTGGATTTGAACAGCTTCTTGGAAGCTGCTGTAGCTGACCGTTTCCTCGGATGTAACTTTAATGAGTTTTAATCTGTTTTTCTTTTTCAGGTGGAGTGCGTGGGATAGCACGAGGTGGTATTGCAGGTCTGACGCTTACTGGCCTCTACGCTCTCTATAACAACTGGGAGCACATGAAGGGCTCCATAGCCCGGCAGTCCCTCTGAGCAGGGCAGCCAGCGCTGGACGGAGGACACGCTTGCATAGTCACCAATCAAATCAGTTGCGAGATCTGTCTGGTGCCCCTTCCTATTTTATTTACAATTAGTGTGAAACTGAAGGAAGCTATGCTGGGAGGAACCTCTTGACACCATGTAGCTGGACTGGCCCTTTCGTTCCCGCCAGCCAGTCGCTGGAGAGGCAGCAATATTTGTTGGACCTGCAAGTGAGCAGAGTGGCCACCAAGATAGAGTCTCCCTGACACGCTCACAGGCTAGCCCTGGGCCAGAGCTACGAGGCATGCTCAAGTCCCATAGCTGTACCTGCTGCGCTACCAGGTTTGTTCGGTTGCGTGTACTACAGCGACAGCGCTGCGTAATAAAGTCTGTGTCCATAGAGCTATTCACTGCAGTCTTTCAACGTGCATCACCCGGCCAGCTGGAGCCAGCGGGAGCCTTACGTAGCGACTGGCACAGGGCAAGGCTTGTTATTCTGGCAGCGCAGGATAAGCTGTAAAAAGGGACATCATCATTAATAAAAAGGGTGGTACTTACACAATGCCGTTTCTATGCTTTGCTGTTCCTACTGCTGATAAGACAAAAAAGTGCCGCATCCAGGGACTCTTATTTACAGTTTCCTTTTGAAGGACCGATGTGATAAAATCCTGGGGGAGTTAGTGGGTGAGGGGAAGTGAACTAAGAGGCTGATTGTCTCCTGATGGGAGGCGATGGTGAGGCATACCAGGGCTTGACTCCACTCCCTTATTTGCTCTAATAAATAAGGAACTGGTTGTTTCTAGATGAGGTACAGTTGCTGTTGCAGAACAGCTGCCAGTGGATTATCAAAACACTTGCGTGCTCCAGGATCTCAGAACTTGTTTAGCCAACAGTTAGAAACCAAGCAGTATAAATACTCCTCTCATTGCCTATTACAGGATTTTTAATTAGTGACAAGCTTTTTTCCCCCAGGTGATGTTTGTAGGTTATTGGCAGAATGAAGAGAAGGTGTGATGAACCTACACCTTCTCCAGTGTTAAAATTAAACCACATACCAAGTATTGTTTGCACATAAATTAAACAGTAAGTTGTGAATTAGTTCAGTAATTAGAGTTCTTGTATAACAGCTGATTCCTTCAGTTTTTAAATAGAGTCTGTAAACAATTGAACAGGTCTGAGACAGTGTGAAGGCAGGGCAAAGGAAAAACAAGAAACTTCTCAGTAGACAACTTACAGTGTGAAGGCAGTTTACTTGAAAAACAAGAAACTTACTTCTCAGTAGACAACTTAATGCAAAACAAGAGTTTACTTGAATTCTCCCTACTGAAACAGCTCTAGATAACTACGTTGCACTCAAGAAAATAGAAACAACAACAATAAAAGCAGTAGAGGGAAGGTGGTAGCTCTTACCTTCCTCTGAGAAGAAATTCAACTTTGTTGAGAAACCTCTTTAGGAGGAGGTGACCGCTGAGACTAGCTTTTTATAGAGCAAGTGCTCTAGCTAACAAGCCTTCACAGTTGAACTCAATTAGCTTTGCTTGGATACCAGGTCAAAGTAGATGTAGCATAAAGGAAAGAAAACTGGTCTGTTCTCACCTGCTTTGTAAATGCTGTTTCTTCTTAAGCTTTATGTTCCACTGTCTTTTAGTGGGCTGTGTATTACTGTTGTGGATAGTCCAGAGCCGGACCTTCTAGCATGCATTTTTTTGAGGACCATGGCACCAAAGAAACCATCCTACTCACAGGCTGCAGAAAGGTGACATAGGCACCAGCTGTGCAGTGCTGTTGGGTGGGACATCAGGAAAACGGGTGCACTTTCTTCCTGAGCTGCTTTTTCTCTCCCCATTGGCATCAGTGAGTTCCTCCCCGCCCACGTTTCTTGGTCACTGTTAATAGGACTTGCACTCCTACACTCTTGACAATGCTGGATGAAGGGGTGCTAGCCAATTCGGGGACTGGTGGTGGGGAAGGGCTGCTTGCTAAGTGTCAGGAACTTTGCAATGTGTCTTTTAGTTTTGCTGGAGACTTTTTCAGGACTGAAGTACGACCCAGGAGCTCTCTGCCCCTAGTTGAAGCGGGAAAGCTGTGAAGCTTAACAAATGTCTTTCCTTCTTTAGGTGCGCTGGAGGTAATGTAGGAACAAGCTTTTGTAAGTTCAAAGTTGCCACAACCTTAAGGGTGGGCTGACTCTTGAGACAACTTAGCATGTTATCTGGTCTGCAATAACCTCCAATTTCCTGGAATTGCTTGTCTCAGGGGCAGAGCTGAGTGCATTTTTCTGCGATAGCTGTATTTCTAGGGCTATTAAAAGCTTTGGTTTATAACCGGTTTGTATATGGAGTGATCCATAGCTTGAGCTATGAAAGACAACCAGCACGGAGGCAGCAGCAAGGGAGGTGAATTTTAAGTATGGAATACAGAGAACATCTTTGTGATGTTCTATGTCGAGACTTACTGTGTTCACAATTTAATGGCGAACAATCAGTATAAAGTTGCTACTTAAAGCTGTGACCAAAAGTATATCCCAGTTCAGTAGGAATAAAAGGAAGTAAAATCAAGCTGCAAACAGGATTTGGCAAGCCACTGACAGTCCTCCCATGCAGCATTACATAAATGCGAGCACAGGAGACCTTGGCCGTCTTGAAGAGCGGTGGTTTATCCTCTCGCAGTGCCAGTCACGGCATCTAGTTTTGCTGGTAGATCTGAGGGCGCTTTCCATGCTGTGGCAGCAAGTGAGGGAGTCCGAGACAACAGGTTTAATGAAAGCTTTTGAATCTTGCAAAGCTGCTTTTGTGTAGTCTTTGGAATGGAGAAAGGCAATTTCACCATTCCCTGTCAGCAGGTGACTTCTCTTACAGTTGGGGGAATTTGTTGAAGAATCGCTAGTCCTGTGGTAGGAATCTCCAGCTTCCTCAATGCAGCAGAAGCTGCTGCTGAAAACAGGAGGGAAATGTATGCTAGGGCAGAAAAGCCATCCAGTGTTCGTAGCTTGCTTCCTCTGACCTAATCTGGGACTGAAAAAGGAGGGGGGAAAATCCTTTTTAATGCTTTAATTGCTTTAACAGCAGGTTACCCCTGTATGTAATAAATTCTAGATAGTTAGGAAATTGGTATGTTTTGAGTGGAGCTTTGCATCCTCTGTGAGTATTGGCCTGTGCTGTTGAATGCCAGGCGCGGCAGGGACACCACAGGGTACCACAGCCTCCACAGGGAGGGAGGGAGAGAAGTAGAATTAAGCATTTTGGAGCGGACCCCGTTCCTCAGTACAATCCGATAATCCCAGATTGCTCAAAAAAAGGTCTCCAAACGTTATCCAGAGAAGCCAGGAATAGCATTCTCTGCTCCGGCTACTCTTCCTTGTCTCTGGAAGACCCAAAGTGTTTTTCTCCCCATCTTTGAAAGCGATACTCGGGATACACGTTCAGGAGTTCTGCACGTGGCTGCTTCTAACAAAGCACCTCTAGTCCCTTTATAGAAACTGCGTGTACGCACACCCACACATGAAATTCAAGGTATTGTGGTTGAAAGGCTGCCAGGCCCAACTGCGTGCTGTCTCACGAGAATGTTGTCTTAATGCTACAATGCAGCCCGGATTAAGTCACTTCTACCAGTTTAAAGGAATGGAAGATCCTCAAAGGAGGAACAAAACATGCGGGAGGGTCTGATGTTCAAAAACCAGGAGAGCAGAAGAGCCAGAGAAGAACTAACTTCCAATTGCGCAGCCAGACCAGAGATGTTCCGCAGCCATGGGAGAAGAGGACTCGAGGCCACTAAAATCCATAAATCCTCCTTAAGTATTCAAGAGCAGTAAGAAACAAGCACCGTTTTGCCTAAATCTGTATTTCTTACAGCAGCTGAGTCAAGGCCGGGTGTCCAGGAGCTCGTGTTTCAGTGCGGCGATGGCCAGCAGTTACCCAGGAGGTGTGTACCTGGTGCCAGGGTTTCCTGGCTTCGACAGCGGGGCTCCACGCAACTGCAGGTAGTGGTGAAATAGAGAACTAAAACATGCGAATCCCGTACGGGGGCAGAAGCACAGCTGCATCCAAACAGAAGTTAACTAGGCAACGTGCCGCAGCATTTTTTTGTTAACCATCTTGCAAAGGAGACGACCACGCCTTTGGTTGCAATTATTTTTTAATGGAAAAGACTAATCATTGTTTTACATAAATATCAATTAGTGATAACAAGTCAGTTGAGTAAGTAAAGGAATAGATACCCCCAAGTTTTAAAGGCTCATAATGAACTGACAAAGTAGCACACAATGACGACTACAAGGAATTATAAGAGGTGGCCTGCACGTCAATCACCTTCATTAAGTTCAACTGCTAATCAAATTAGGCTATTACTGGAGTTAGTCACAGTGCAGTCTCCCCATGCAGCAACGAGGACACGTTCGAAGGGGAAAGTGAACTTCAAAAACATTTTTCTGCTTCCAGCAGAAAGCCCCACCTATGACAGTACGAAAGCCTCAAGCGGTCCACGGATGTTACACCCTTCTGGGGTCTGGTTTCAGATGTGCGGCGTCCCCCTCTCAGACTAAAAACTTGTTTTTAACCAAATGCACAGGTTCTGTCAGGCGGGAATGCGTTCACACTGCGAAGGGATACCAAGGTTGGATCTTGCTAACAATTTCTTTTCTAGTGTTGTGAAGAACTGAAATCACTTCTATTCCCAGGCAGGCTGCAGGGATGGGGAAAAGGGGAGGCTATTTTTATAGTCATTCAGAGCAATTTGTTAAGTGAGTGGAAGCTGCACCAGAAACTATGTAACTTCACAGTTTTTCATGCAAGCTGACAGGCATGATCCACATTTCCATCTAACATCTCCGCACTCCTTCCTACGGGCTCAAAATGCTAAATACCTAAAGAGGTATTGCTCGTACTATGTCCACAGCTATAGGGATCAGAGTTACTCCACCCCCCTTTCCTGCGCGTAACAACATGGAAATCCACAGCTTAAATATCTTTAAAATGGATCAGTGGGAGCCACGCAGTTTGCCAAGTTAGTGTTTCCCAATTAAACAGCATGACATCCATCTGAGGAGAAGGCATCAAATTCCCCAAATATTACCTTTAAATATTATGTGGCTAAGATGCCTGCTTTCCAGTGGTTTAGTCAATAAAAGCTCATTATGAATTATCTAAAACTAGCAGAAACACGCACATTTCATCTTACGGCTTTTTCAGTGAAACTCAAAAGTCTTCCTAAATGCTGGGGACACGGTAGGATCTGATCTACTGATGCATGAAAATTAACACCCTACCCTGCTCTCTGAACAGCTCAAAAATTTGCAAGCAAAGTTTTTATTCAAAACTAAGTTACCAATTCTCCTGTCTCACGTCAGGTCCCATAAATTCATGTCTTTTTCAAAATCTGGACTCCACATACTCAGCCGGGAGATGCACCAATACAAGATGCAAATGAAACCTTTAAAGTTAGCGACTGCTCAATAAAAGAAATTGCTTCCAAGTACAGCCTAAGTTATCTGCCAATCCCAGTAAGCTGGAACCCAGCTCATGACAAAGTTGTAGCAGCTGAAAGGAACGGCAACACTTGTAAAGTCACTGCCAAAGGTGGACGTTTCACAGCACCAGAGAGATTCTGCTTTATACTTGCACTGGCTTCAGCATACTTGAAGTGACAACCCATTAAAGAAGATTCACGTAGTCCCGTAACAGATACGAATTTACTAACACCTCTATAGTATCAGATTGCTTATGCTCACTGGGTTTACGTTTCAGAATTAATCATAACAAAAAGGCATCTTCTGCACCGTAACTCTGTTATATGAGTAATCTTTCTTTTTGTTACAATTTTAGAAGAAAAAGCAGACGGCCAAACACAAACACAAGAATTCAGCTGGCTGCAGTCACTCAGCGTGATGTGCGATTGATCAGCAGGAAGGGGACGATTTCAATGCTTCCAGTTCTTCACATCTAAACAAATTTAAAATTGGGTTATTCTCTTTGATAAACAGAAAGCAACACCTTTGGAAAAAAACACAGATAAGACACCCGGGGGGGGTGGAAATATACTCAAATACTTCCTAGAACTGAGTATCTTGCCTCTTAGGGTTTGAAGTACGCCTGCTAAGATGGACTTTTTTCATTAATTTCAAAAACAGTTATCTTTGCAAATTAGAGAAACATGACATCAGCTGTAAATACACTACCGAGATAAGAAAGAAGCTGCCTGGAAACAGCCTCAAGTTGTGCCAGGGGAGGTTTAGATTGGACCTGAGGAAAAATGTCTGTACTGAAAGAGTGGTGCATTGGCACAACAGGCTGCCCAGGGAAGTGGTGGAGTCCCCATCCCTGGAGGTATTTAAAAGACGTGTAGATGAGGCGCTTAGGGACATGGTTTAGTGGGCATGGTGGTGCTGGGTCGACGGTTGGACTCGATGATCTTAGAGGTCTTTTCCAACCTTAATGATTCTATGGTTCTATGAAATTAATTGCACATTCTAGTTACAATAGAAGTTACCAGGATTCTACCGAGTGTCAATCAGTTGAAGAGTGATTTACTCAAGAACGTAACTAATTCCCTCCCTGGCTTGTGATCAAAAGAGGAGGAACAATGAAAAAATAGAATGGTCCAAGCTGTTAAAAAGGTATACAGGGAGAAAAATCACAATGCTGTCAAACATTACGTATAGAGAACTCTGAAGACATCAGTTAGCTGCCATCGTCTGTATTCTGTACCCCCGAGTTATGGGGCATGGGGGTGTTGGGTCGATGGTTGGACTCGATGATCTTAGAGGTCTTTTCCAACCTTAATGATTCTATGGTTCTATGAAATTAATTGCACATTCTAGTTACAATAGAAGTTACCAGGATTCTACCGAGTGTCAATCAGTTGAAGAGTGATTTACTCAAGAACGTAACTAATTCCCTCCCTGGCTTGTGATCAAAAGAGGAGGAACAATGAAAAAATAGAATGGTCCAAGCTGTTAAAAAGGTATACAGGGAGAAAAATCACAATGCTGTCAAACATTACGTATAGAGAACTCTGAAGACATCAGTTAGCTGCCATCGTCTGTATTCTGTACCCCCGAGTTATGTTTAGGCTCAGCTGTTCTAATGCATTCTGCGCATCCTACCTGTAAAGGAGTCCGGTACAGCCATTTTTCTTTATCTCCACTGAGTTTCATACAGGCAAAAAGGTCGCAAACTGTAGGGAGGCCAAAGTCCTGAAAGAGAAGTCACCTTAATTACTGATCTCCAAACATAAATACATTCTGATGCATCTTCAAATTCTGCCAAGTGTTCACAAAGAAAATAAAACTGACTTCTGAGTCTTGGAGATAAATACTTTCTTCATGTAGTAAGACTAGCTATACTTCAGAATTAACTTTTTTTTTTGTGTTAAACACTGGCCTCGTTAAGTAACTAAGTAAGAATCACTGAAAACATTAAAAGAGCTAAGAAACCTAAAAATTGTCAGTCAGTATTATCCAGAAGAGCTATGAATTTGGAAGAGAAGGCAGGCATTAGATTCAGTAAAACAATAAACCCGGCACATTGGCTTAAGACACAGCAGTAACAAAAACTTATGAACGTGCTCACTTGTGCTTTCTTGCGTAGAAGCCATTTATCTTCCGCTGGAGGCGGGTTAGCATTTTCTATGTCGTTTGAAGTCAGCACCCAACTGTTTACATTCAAGGGGAGGTGGAATGGAGCCACGAGGTCTAGGAAAGGACTCTTGGAACTATTGTCTGCTTTTTCCCTGCTCGCCTTTTCTTCTGCACTTTCTGCTTTGTGCTCAGACTTGGCTAGCCAGCTGGTCAGAGGCCTTTCGAGCAACACTTTCAAGGGTTCTGCGATCTCTGCTGAATAATCCGCTTTCTCTGCACTAATGGGTTCCCCTGTGAGCTGCTGTGCGGGGTTAAGCCAGGTATTGGCAGCAGGCTTTGTCTTCTCGTGCTCAGGGTTTGGTACATCTTTCTGGCTGACTGGAACTCCATTTTTATCCTTCCCTTCTTTCTTCAGAAGCCATTTACACAGAGCCTCTTTTCCGCACTTTTCATCACACACACACTCTGAAAAGCTGGCACACAGCTCATTAGCCTTGCACACATCTTCCACCTTAAATGGGGCCTGGGGATGCTGAAGAAGCCAAGCATTTACAGCAGATGTAGTGGGCGATTTCTTTCCATCAAGATGGTCATTCAGGCACTTCAGATTTCCCAGGTTCTCAATTTCCACACTTTTGATCTGGCTGCCACAACAACTGGTACACGTTTCAGCTTTGAGGAGCCAATCATTCAAATTAAATTCTTCCCTAAAAGGTTTAAATTCATACTTCCATTTCTCATCTGAAGCACTACCTCCATTTTCTGTGTCAGGAGTAAGCAGCCAGTCGGAAAGGTCCATCTCTTCTTGTCCAAGGGATTCCAATTCCTCCACCTTTTCAATAGTGGAAAAGGACGAGTTGAAAGTAGAGGTGGAGTCCTTGCGGCCAGGGGAGTCTGTCTTCCCAGCAACATCACGCTGTTGATTCTGCAGGAGCCAGTTTTCCAAATCTTTCAGATTTCCCCAGGCTTGCTCAAAATAACAGACTTTGGAAGAACTTAAATCCTAGTAAAGACACATTGAAATGCATTTATTAACACTAAAAGACAATGCTCAGTAACTGCTTGCACAGTTACAGCTTGGAGCCTTCCGATAGTTAAGTGCAAAAGTATTAGTTGAACACGAGGCAGAGTGAAGAGAACTACAGAAGGTTTAATTCCCACCATATTCCGCCTGCAACTGGACACTCTGCTTTCCTCTTTATTAAAAACTAGGTTAGTGCATAAAAGGCTTACCTGGCTGGGCTCTGACGCACATTTTTGCGTAACCCATTCTTCAAGATTGGTGCTGGGAACATACGGAGCCTGGCAAACACCCACAGGTCTGCTTCCAAGTAACCAGTCAGCAAGCGAGGCACTCACTGTCCCACACAACGTTTTCTGCTGGGAAAGAACGTTCTTGGTTATGAGAAAGTCTAATTGCCGAGGTAATCTATGGTGAACATCAAGACAGGCATTCAACATGCATCAGTATTTCTGAAACCAAAAGAAAAACCAGTCACTTCTAATTAAGGAAAAAGTAAATCTTCAGTCGCCTGTATGACTTTAAGCCACTGCACCGATAGACTGTTTTGTGATCCCAGATTCTTCAGAGAGCAAATGACAAGAAAGGGAAGCGACAACTTCTACAACGCACAGTTCTGATACGTGTAACCCAGCCATAATCCTCCTTCTGACCACAACTCCCGTTGCTAATTTGCTACCCTCCTTCACTGACGCTGTTTCTGTGCAGAGCCCAGCATAAGATTTCCCATTAATTTCTGCATTACAAGGAATCGGATCGTTCCAAGTCCTGACTTGTCAACATCAAGGAATATTCAATTAAAAAATTCCGACCAACAGTCACACTCCAGATTCACTTTCATACTTTGTTCTTGCACGTCTGTGCCTGGAGCAGCTAGAACGTCAGATCGCCAACGCTCACCACAGCGACTGGTACTGGCTACTCAAACGTCTTAACAAACAAACAGCAGTCATTACTCAAGCAAGCTAACATACTGTGCTTGAGTCCTCCTTTTCCCTTTAATACAATTAAACGCTCACAGATACAAGCCTTAATCTTACCTGCTCACAGTTCATTAGGGCACAATTCTGCCCTGGGAACCAAGGAGAAGTATTCTCTCTCTCTACGGTTTGCTGTAAGGAAAGAAAAGTTAATTTAAATCTCAATTTTGTCCAGTTTCTAGGATGAACTCTACAATAAAGCAGAAGTAAAGCGCAGTTACAACTGGTCAGTTCTTTGTGGCTAACGATTTTCTCAACATTTAAAAACAGAATGGAGAAAGATTTACTATAAAAATACTCCCTTCAGTCCACTTCCTTTACGAGAATTATCTCCAATAATACAGGAGATACGCTGCTTACATAAGAATCCCAAAATATTTATATCACAGAAAGCCATCTACGATGCATAACTAGTAATATCTAAAGAAAACAGTAACATTAATTTTCAGTTGCTGGAACAGAGTAAGAATATAATCACCATTCCCTCAGTCTCGGCCAAAATATGTTAAAATAACACGTACGTAACTAGATCTAAGCTCGGTTGCATGCACAACTACATGCAATAGTTAATAAACCACTGTGTGTATTTTATACAGCTAAAACTATACGACTCATAGCTTGAATGGATCTTGTGTACAACTAAAAGTAGAAATATCACTTGGCATATACCGCACCTACTGCCTCAGAAAAAGATTTTTTTCCAAATATTCCAACCCAGGAAAGTCTTGGTGCTTACCATCGTCTTAATTGAACCAAATGAGGTAATAGCCTGGCGAAGGTAAGACGTGTCAGCCTCAAAATTCAGGATGGAAGACTCCTCTGGTTTAAGAGTAAGACTTGCCAGTCTGAAAGAGTAAGATGGTAGTTACAGAAAGAAAAAAAAAATTACAATCTTCTTCAGCTGTCATGTTTTGGGAATCAATCCATTATTTCATAAAAAGGCTTCCAAACTGACTGGGCACTAATTAGGTAACAGAAAGGCTTTTAATACTTGCATAAAAATAACGAGATGCCTCTCCACAAACCAAGAACAGAATAAACAGCCAGCAAAACACAAGTTTCTCCTTCTTACTTCAATTGCCATCAACAACTAATATTTGAAATAATCCGCACAAGTGAGTACCTCCACTGCTCGTTATAGTCCTGTTTTTTCAATCTAAGATAAAAAAGATGAGAAGAATCATATCTCAGACTGCTTTAAAGATCTTATTTCTAGGAACCATTGAAAATGAGGTAACGGTGCGTTAGATCTATTGTTAGTTCTATCAGAATAAAAAAAAAAAAATCAGATTAAATTCCTAAGTCAAAATAAATACCAATTGTGTTAACTTGCATCATAAAATATATTTACCTCTCCAGGCAAACTGAAATCTGGTTTGCTAGTTCGTTACTACAGGAGCGTTCCAGCTGGTGAATAAGGCAATTGAATTGTCCCAAATACTGCACGGAAAACAAAACACATGTTATTGTTTTGGCTTCTAAGATTAAAGTTGAGAAAACACCTGCAAGGACACAGTTTACTTAAGAACGCCAGTGCAAGAATTTACACCCAAACCTTACCCAATAGAGCTGCTGCGCCTGCTGCTGCAACGCCTCCTCTTTCAGCTGCTGAATGAGATCTACCTGCTCAAACAGCCAAACTTCACGACTGCGCAGGCATTCCAGGTGCCGGCTTATGTGGCTGTGAATCTTGGCTTTTACCTGTAGGGGTAACATGTGCCATTTCTAGAACATCTGTCAGAGAGTATGAACAAGCCTGTGCTGCGCCGATTACAAAATAATGTTTGTCACAGATAAGTGGTATTTTTGGAGTAATTTATTTCTCAAAAACTAACCACGGTCACCCACAGCACCACATGGCTCAGTCAGTAAAAGTTCCAAGGCTACCTTTAAAGAAGTGTCAAAGAACAACGTTATTTGCAGTATCTCTCTATCCTGACGTTTCAGCCGACAGCTCTAGTAAATCCTGTGTGCCTAAGCTAGTAATACAGGAATACCTTTACCGAGAGCATGACCAAATGTCCTGGTTTCGGCAGGGACAGAGTTAATTTCCTTCCTAGTAGCTGGCACAGTGCTGTGTTTTGGATTTAGGGTGAGAACAGTGTTGATAACACACCGATGTTTTAGTTGTCTGAGCAGTGCAACTGGCCAGAGGGACATTCCATACCATGGGACGTCACGCTCAGTATATAAAGCTGGGGGAAGAAGGAGGAAGGGAGGACATTTGGAGCGATGGCGTTTGTCTTCCCAAGTCACCGTGATGCGTGATGGAGCCCTGCTTTCCTGGAGATGGCTGAGCACCTGCCTGCCCATGGGAAGCAGTGAATGAATGCCTTGTTTTGCTTTGCTTGCGTGCGCGGCTTTTGCTTTCCCTATTAAACTGTCTTGATCTCAACCCACGAGTTTTCTCACTCCTACCCTTCCGATTCTCTCCCCCATCCCACCGGGGGGGCAGTGAGTGAGCGGCTGGGTGGGGCTTGGTTGCTGGCTGGGGTTAAACCACAACACCAAATTACACAGCAAGATGCTTGCAAGTCTCTAGGAAAATTTCAGACCACTGTCATAATAGAAAGTACTCTGGAATAATAAAAACTGTCATTAAAGTCGCGTTAGTTATTAAAACTTTTTTTTTTTAAAAGAATTTTAAATTACCTCCCGCCAGTTCTCTTTAATCTGTTGTTCAGCTTTGACAATTCCAGATATAGCTGTTTCCAAGTCCTTCTTTGCTTGAAGGCACTTTGCCAGAGGCTCGCTGCTGCAGGAATTTCTACTTCTATCTTGTGGTAGACTCATTCTTGAAGTGTTCCTAAAACACAATGAAAAAAAATTTCTTAATAGTTTCTATTCCTCTTTAACAGAGGAGGAAGAGCATCATATGAAGAACCATCTGCTCTACTTCACTATAAAGGTGGACAAAAAAAACACCCTAAGACCCTACACCGATGCAAGTTTTCTAAACGTAGATAAAGCTTTCTCCAGGTGCGACAACGGTCTCTCAAACGCCTCGGCCCACGGAATTTGCACAATCGCAGGAAAACCAACAGATACTTGACAACAGCTTCAACCGCGGGAGCTTAGGCAGTCCTCCCCTGCCGTCCACCTTCCTCTGGCTTTTTTGTCTATCCAGCAAACTCCAGCAGCTGAGGGCTGATTCAGGCAAGGTTCAGCAGCTCTGCCGGAGCTGGGGGAGAACGGCCCGGCCAGGGGCAGGGACTGTTTCAGTCACCCTTTTTTTCAGCTGCAGGCAAATGAACTGGCTCCCATAAATGAGAAAATTCTAACACGCTTCGATCAACTGAAAAACCAAGTGTTGATACACAGATCACTCTTTTCTAAGCTGCAAAGGCCAGAACTTATAGCAGCTGCCCATTATTTTTGTTGTGGTCACAGCCGCGGTAACTTACTCGGCTTCAGCATATCCTCAAGTGAAAGGGGCTCAGCTACAAAATTTCTACAGAAGTTACACTGGCAAGGATTCTGCAAGTAAGGGAAAAAAGCTAAATATGGATTTTTAGTAAAAATGGGAAGCATCGATATAAGCATTTTTTCTAAACGGTGGGTATTTTGTTACCAAAGAGTTTCAATTCTCCTGTTGGTTTCATAGGATTCCTGAAGCACTAACTAAAGATTTGTAGTAAACATTCTATTTAAAACGAGTCTTCAGCAATGACAGCTATGGAAATTCCCAGCAGAATTAATTAAAGCATACACATGTGCCAATCTAAATATTTCATAGATTTTACCACTTCTCTGGAGGGAACTGAAAAGAGTATTTTGAATATGACAAGACGACCACGGAGCTTGTGTTACTGAGCAACTATTTAGTCTTCAATTTCCAAGCCCCGTGACCATATAAACTGCAAACCAAAAATCCTTCTCCAGCCAAGGCCCACCAGACACACCGAGGTCGTGTATTTCAGAGAGCAGAGGGCTAGGCGTGGTTCGCAAGTGGAAGCTGACAGAAAAAGCAAGGTTCGCCGTCAGGCAGCGGCAGAGGCTGCGTCTCCCTCGGCTCCCTCCACACCGCGGGCTTCCCGTCTCCCAGCTGCCCCCAGCCACGAGGCACGGAGCAGGCACAGAAGCCACGCCAAGCCCCTGCACGCAACTCAATCCCATCCTCGCCATAACATCTCGTCTTCTAGGAAGCGCAGAGCACAACTACAAGGGAAGTGAACTTGAATTTATTTTTTTAAGCTTATGTTAATTCTACACCAAATCAGACAGGGTGCAGAAGTCCAAAACACATCGTTCTCCATTCTGTGCTATGAATGCCAGTTCTGTCCCTGTATTTGCATACTCTAATCCATTCATAGGTTCAATTCCGTAAGGTTTCATGATCTGCACCTTGCTAGTGACGTTCAACAAACGGTAAGCTTTCTCTTCACAACACCCCTTAGAGTTTATCTCGCTTGTCAACTCTTTCACGTACAACCTACAGGAAAACGTAAGTGGGAGCCCCAGCTCTCAAATATACTCTAAAAGTATTAATGCAAAGGCAGAGAGGTACCCAGCCAAGAAAATGAGGACGTTAGATACATTAAAAGCTGTCATATACTCAAAAGTAAACAAACAAAAGAAAATCTTACTGTTCTTCATTATTTCATTCGTCATACCCTTATGTAACAACCGAGTCAAAGTCTGAAAGGCTAAATGTAATTGCCATGTTTGCTCGCACAGCAGACGATGTACTTAGAAGAGTTTTGTGAATATGATGTTAAGCTGTGTATCTACAAACGCCAGGTCCGAAGTATGCCGCGTTGCCATTTATGTGTTCTCTGAATTTATGCCACTAGGGAGTTGGGCTCAATGCCCGAAGAAATGCCACTTTCTCACACGCTGCATTAGCAACTGCATACCGGCACAGTCAAGTTTAAGAAACTTATACGTGCTCCTCTGATAAGCTCTGAAAACACTTGCCTGTGTTGCTTTTCCAGTTTTTCATTTGATTGCAAGAGTCTCTCTCCAAAATGTATACAGAGAGGACGAATGCTGCTTTCCTCCAGCCAGCCAGCCCTTGTAAAATGGCTGTTCTTACTCTTTGCCAAAAATTAGCCAATAAAACTAACGTTACAGCTGAGGATGAGAGTCGACCCATCCTTCTGTTCAATTTCCGCAAGCCTCTAACCACAACAAGTGGGGGTAACCACCTATTCCCTTGCTTCCCAATTATCACCAAACAGCATAGGAGTTGAAGGCGTTTTCAGGTCCCGTGCTCTGAAATACCCGAGATCATACACTCGGGCTCAACGGTAACGACACGCAGTTACTTCTGCGACAGGACGCGCTGCTGCGACGCAGGGTCACCGGTTTTGGCAACCTCCACGTCATCGGACTGTTTCCAACCCCACGGAGGTACCCCGCCACGGCGCGCGCCCCCGCACGCCCCCACGCACCCCCCTCAGCTGAACTCGCGCTCGCTTTCCGGGCGAAGGGAGCGGTTCGGCACCGTCCTGCTTATGAAGCTGTTCCCGCGTCCAGCCCCCTGCTCCGCACGACCGCGGCCTCCAAAACGCTTTCGGGCCGTCGCGTCCCGCTCTCCACACACCCCCACACACCGCCCACACCCCCCCCGGCAAATTCCGCT